CCGCCTGGCTAGCGGGCGGCTTGGCTAGCTAGCTAGCTGTGCACTTTGACAAAGGCACCCACCTCTAGGCAGCAGCAGCTATTGCTGCTGCTGCTGTTGCTGCTGCTGCTGCTGCTGCTCCTGCTGTGCGCAGTAGCGACTCCCTAGATTTCTTGCTTGACTCGAGCTCCCTCCAAATTAAGCTGCTGCTGCTGCTGCTGCCGGTGCTGCTGCTGCTGCCGGTGCTGCTGCTGCTGCTGCTCGTGCTGCTGCTGCTGCTGCTGCTGCTGCTGCTCGTGCTGCTGCCTTGCTAGCCGTTCCTGCTTAGCAGGACTCCCTCCCTGGTGCTGCTGCTGCTCTTGCTGCTGCTGCTCCCTCTGGGGCTCTTCAGAAAGCTGCTGCAGCTGCAGTTCTTGTAGCTGCTGCTGCAGCAGCAGCAGCAGCTGCCGGTTTGCTTCCGATAGCAATGGCTGCTGCTGCTGCTGCTGCAGCAGCACCTCCAGGTGCTGCTGCAGCGCCTCAGGAGCAAACGTTGCCTGTACGTACAGCCCGTTGCTGCAGTTCCCTCCTATTGCTTGAATGCTGCTGCTGCTGCTGCTGCTGCTGCTGCTGCTGCTGCTGTGCGGCAGCCCCAATGTGATCCTCATGATGACAATCTTTGCTGCTGCTTCTGCTGCTGCAGAGGGGAGCGGGCAGGCAGAGTTTTGCAGCCAGGAAGTTGCTGCTGCAGCAGGCGAGAGGTCCTGCTGCTGCTGCTGCTGCTGCTGCTGCTGCTGCCTTTCCCGGGCGTACTGCTGCTCCTGCTGCAGCAGCAAAGCCTCCGTCGACAGCCGCCGCTTGGCCGTGGCTAGCTCTTGCTGCTGCTGCTGCAGCAGCTTGCGCTTCTTAGCAATGCTTTGCTGCTTCCGCAGCCGTCTCCGCCGCAGCAGCCGGCTGCTGCTGCTGCTGCTGCTGCTGCTGCTCTTCTTCTTGCTTGAAGAGCAGCGCGCTGGGCTGCTGCTGCGGCTGCTGCTGCTGCTGCAGCTAAGGGACTTTGCAGCAGCAGCAGCAGCTGCTGCTGCTGGGAACTCAAGGCTCACGGACTCCGCTGCTTCTTCTGCTGCTGCTGCTGTTCTGCCAGCTGCGGCTGCAGCAGCAGCAGCTGCTGCTGAAGTCTCAGCAACTGAGTAAGAGTCCTCAGCATCTCCACTTTTTGCTGCCAAGCTGCTGCTGCTGCTGCTCGCCGTGCTGCAGAACTCTACAACTTTGCGGCAGGCATCAGATGGCGGCCGCTGCTGCTGCTCGTGCTGCTGCCGTTGCTGCTGTTGCTGCTGCTGCTGCTGCTGTTGCTGCTGCTGCTGCTTCTGTTTGTCCATCGAGGAGACCTGCTCTTGTCTCCTAGCGCTGCGGCTCACCAGCAACTGTTGTTGCTGCTGCTGCTGCTGCTTCTGCAGCAGATGGCGCTGCTGCAGCAGCAGCTGCTGCTGCAGCAGCTGCGATAGAGCTGTGTCCCTCAGCCGCAGGACCACCCGCAGATCCGGGGTCTTGCTGCTGCTGCTGCTGCTGCTGCTGCTGAAAAGTGCATTGGCTTGCTGCTTGTTCTGCTGCTGCTGCTGCTGCTGCTGCAGCTGCGGAATGCGCGGCTGCTGCCGCGAGTCAAAGAGGGCCTGCCACTGCAGCAGACAAGCCCATGCTGTTGCTGCTGCTTGCTGCAGCTGCTGCTGTGCTGCTGCTGTCCACGGCCTCTGGTGCTGCAGTTGCTTCTGCTGCTGCTGCTGCTGTTGCTGCTGCTGCCCGTAGGGCCAAGGCAGGCGGAGCAGCTGGAGGGCGTCTACGGGCAGCGGCGGCTCTTCGGCTTGCTGCAGTTGCTGCTGCTGCTGCTGCTGCTGCTGCTGCTGCTGCTGACGCATTTAAACTCAAAGAAGGGACAAGACGGCGAGCAGCAGCAGCAGCAGTTGTCGATCCCTCTTAGCCTGGTGCTGGTGGTGGCCGTGGCTAGCGCCCAGCAGCTGCTGCTGCTATTTCTGCTGCTGCTGCTGCTGCAACTGCTGCCGTTTCTGCTGCAACTGCTGCTGCTGCTGCTGCTGCTGCTGGCGACGCGGGCCCTTCGCCCCAGCAAGGGGGCTGTTATCTGCATTAGGTGCGGCTGAGTCTGCTGCTGCGCTGCTGAGTGCTGCAGCACCAACGGCAGCAGCAGCAGCAGCAGCTCGAGAGCATCAGAGTCCCTAAAGAAAAGAAAGAGCTGCTGTCAATCATCTAAGTGTGCTAACACCAGCAGCAAAGGAGGTCTTTGCTGCTGCGTCGCATGCAGCAGCAGCAGCAGCAGCTGCTGCTGCTGCTGCATGCAGTGCAGCAGCCGCCACTCCCATGGCTGCTGCTTGTCAGCCCCGACAGATTAAAGATGAATTAAGAAAAGATAGACTGTTTTGAACAGCAGCAGCATTAACAACAGCAGCAGCAGCAGCAGCAACAACAGCAGCAGCTGTTGCTGCTCCGGCTGCGCTGCGCTGCAGCAGCGCGGTGTCTCCGGGCGAGAAGGGGCTTGCTGCTGCCTCCAGCAGCAGCAGCAGATTCAGCAGCAGCAGCAGCTTCAGCAGCAGCAACAAGAAAGTCGGCACCAGTTGCTGCAGCAGCAAACACGCACGCACATTACCAGCAGCAGCAGCAGCAGCAGCAGCAGCAGCACCTGTTGCGCTGCAGCATTCGTATTAAGGCCGCGTTTAAAGGCAGCAGAAGCAGCAGTGCAGCAGTGCTCATGCAGCAGCAGCAGCAGCAGCAGCGGCGCCCGCCTGTTGCTGCTGGCAGCAGCAGCAGAAGGGCAGCAGCAGTCTCGAGTGGGAGCCGCAGCGGCAGCGCCTCTGCAGCAGCAGCAACTCAGCAGCAGCAGCAGCAGCAGCAGCGAAGGTCACTGCAGCGAAAGAGGCAGCAAACCTTTCATGTCTCGGACATACCAGAGGCTGTGAGTACTAATCCTGCTGCTGCTGCGGCTGCTGCTGCTGCTGCTGCTGCTGCTGCTGTGAACTTCAGTATTATTGTTGATTCAGCTGCTTATCTCGTTCCTTCTGCTGCTGCTAGGCCTTCTCCTGCTGCTGTATCTTTTGCTGCTGTTCGTCGCCTCATTCAGCTTTGCTGCTGCTGCTGCTGCTGCTGCTGCTGCTGCTGCTGCTGCTTGTGGCTTAGGCTCTTGCTGCGCACCCGTCGCTGGCTCGCGAGCTGCTGCTGCTGCAGCAGGCAGAAGCAGAAATAGAAAAGGGGACAGAGCAGCTAACAGCAACTTTGAGAGACACAGTAAACCCCTGCTTAACAGCAAACGCCAATAGGCAGGTGGGCTGCTGCTGCTGCTGCTGCTGCTGCTGCTGCTGCTGCTGTTGCGGCTGTTGGGGCTGCTGGTGTTGCGGCTGCTGCTGCTGCTGCTGCTGCTTGTCGCGGGGCTGGTCATGCGGGTGCTGCTGCTGCTCCCCGGTTGCTGCTGCTCTTCGTGAGGCTGAACGTGCTGCTGCTGCTGCTGCTGCTGCTGCTGCTTAGCGCGTTGCTGCTGCTGTTAGTGTGCGAGGTGCTGCTGCTTCTGCTGCTGCTGCTGCATACACTGTTGCGCTGAGGTGCTGCTGCAGCTGCTGCTGGCTGTGTTGGCACTGCTTCTTTGAGTGGTGCTGCTGCTGCTTGTGCTGCTGCTGCTGACCCCGCGCAGATAGCGCTGCTGCTGCTGCTGCTGCTGCTGCTGCTGCTGTTGCTGCTGCGCAAGCATTTCTGTACTTCATTCCTTCATCTCTTTGCACTTCTGCCTCTGCTGCTGCAGCCTATTTATTTATTTATTTATTTATTTAAATTTATTTATTTATTTATTTATTTATTTATTTATTTATTTATTTATTTATTTATTTATTTATTTAAATTTATTTATTTATTTGCAGGCGCTGCCGCTGCAGCTGTCTCGTTCGCGGCTGCGGCTTTTTGTTTATAACACTCACGCAAATCAACCTGCTGCTGCTGCTGCTGCTGCTGCTGCTGCTGCTGCTGACTTGCATGCGCCGCACTTCCAGCGGCCCCCGGCGAACCAGCTGCAGCCCCCTGCTGCTGCTGCAGTTGCTGCAGCAGCAGCCGCAGCAGCAGCAGCGCCGCAGCAGCAGCAGCAGCAGCAGCAGCAGCAGCTAAATGCCCTTCCTCAACCAACACTTACTTCTTTGCTGCACGAGCCGCCGCCCTCTTGGTCTCTCTACATAAAGGGACAGTCTCTAGACAAACAGGTTTGCTGCTGCTGCTGCTGCTGCTGCTGCTGCTGCTGCTGCTGCTGCTGCTGCTGTTGCTGCTGCTGCTGCTGCTGCTGCTGCTGTTGCTGCTGTTGCTGCTGCTGCTGCTGCTGGTGCGGCGTAATCACACCTACTTCTGTGTATAGACAGCTGGCGAGTCTTTTTATTTGTTCTTAATAAATAAATAAATGATTATTTATTTATTTATTTATTTATTATTTTATTTATTTATTTATTTATTTATTTATTTATTTATTTATTTGTTTATTTATGTTTTTATTTACTAACAAGTTGTTGGCGACTAGCGAGTGGCTCGCGGAGTCTGTTTTTGCTGCTGCTTCCTTTTCTGCTGCTTTTTCACTTGCTGCTGCTGCTGCTGCTTCACTTGCTGCTGCTGCTGCTGCTGCTGTTCTTATGCTGCTGCTGCTGCTAATACGTCTTCCATTTCGAGTGCGTTTTCGCCGTTTTGGCCGCTGCTGCCGCGCTTTCCCCGCTGCTGCCGCTGCTGCTGCTGCTGCTGCTGCTGCTGCTGCTGCTGCTGCTGCAGGAGAGCAGCAGCAGCTGCTTGTCTTCCTTCTTCGAGAAGATCCTGGTGCTTTCGGAAGCAGAAAGTGTTGCCTGGCACTGGGGGGGCGGAGGGCCTGTTGAAGAACTTGTAATTCAGCGCCAAGGAGATAAGCCCCTCAGCCTTCAAATTCTGCTGTTCATTCGCCACAAACTCCCGGCCTTTGCGGTCTGCTGCTGCTGCTGCTGCTGCTGCTGCTGCTGCTGCTGCTGCTGCTGCTGCTGCTGCTG